CCTCCATTAGGTCTTAATCCCATTTGTCCTTCTCATGGCAGGGTAGGAGGGCTAACAGCTCTGGGTCCTTGAAATACTCTCTCTCCACAGCATGTCTCTCCCTCCGTCTCCTTCTTCCCCTTTGGCCTGGCACAGACAGTTGGCTTCTCGGCTGCTGGCACCATCTACCTAGCACGGTTCACAACAGAAAACGTGCGACTCCTCCTCTTCAGTCTTGCTTAGTTCTATTACCTGCTCACCCCCTCCTCCTCCGGAGTGGTCTTCCTTCTAGCCTCACCCTTTTTCTAATCCAGCACTCACTTCCCTGTCGAACACCTGAAACACAACTCGTATTTTCCCCCAGATTTCTGAACAGAATTAAGCCTTCTTAGTTGAACTCAACAGGCAACACTTTCACACTTGACTCTCCTCTATCTAAAGCCGTGCTGCCTCTGACTATGAAACACGGAACGCCACCAAGTCCAAGCTGAGACGTGCTCCAAGAGCACAGCACACAGCAGATTCCAAAAACTTACTAGGAAAAGAGGAACATCAGATTTTTCAGTATCACTTTTTCCATTGAGTGCATGTTACAACAATATTTTGTAATATACTGGATTAAGTTAATCACTAAAATTATTTTCAGTTTTTTTAAACATTTATCTTAGTTTTATTGGCAAGTCAGATACACAGAAAGGAGAGACAGAGAGGAAGAGTTTCCATCCGCTAATTCACTCCCCAAGTGACCGCAATGGCCAGAGCTAAGCCAATCCGAAGAAAGGAGCCAGGAGCTTCTTCTGGGTCTCCCACGTGGGTATAGGGTCCTAAGGCTTTGGGTCATCCTCGACTGCTTTCCCAGGCCACAAGCAGGGAGCTGGATGGGAAGTAGGGCCATCGTGACATGAACCGGCACCCGTGTGGGATCCCAGTGCATATAAGACGGAGACTTTGGCCACTAGGTCACTGCACCAGGCCCCTATTTTCACTTTCTATGTTTTAAAATGTGATTATTGGCCCAGCACAATGGCTCACTGGCTAATCCTCACCCTACAAGTGCCAACATCAATATGGACACCGGCCATGTTTCAGATGCTCCACTTCCTATCCGGCTCCCTGCTTGTGGTCTAGGAAAGCAGTCCAGGATGGCCCAAAGCCTTAGGACCCTGCACCTGCATGGGAGACCTGGAAGAAGCTCCTGACTCTTGGCTTCAGATTGGCTCAGCTCAGCTCCAGCCGTTAAAGTCACTTGGGGAGTGAACCAGCAGATGGAAGCTCTTTCACTCTGTCTCTCCTCCCTATAAATCGGCCTTTCCAATAAGAATAAATAAATCTCTTTTAAAAAAATGCAATACTAGCTAATGTGTTACATATATGACTTAGGCTTGCAGCTGATTACACGTTCCTACAGACAGCAGTGGTGGAAAGTGGACTTTTCCTCTTGTTAAGATGAGCTCAGGTGGCCCACCAAGATTCCAGGAGCCTCCTTCCCCACCAGGCGACACCAGGTGTAAGTCCAGTCCTCCTCCTCCACGCTGCCATGCACAGAAGCCACAGTGCACACCAGGCACACGTCACACCCTACTGTAAATATTCAGGTCCCTTCTCCAAACTGCAAAGATCCTTGCAAAAAAGACACCGTCCACATACAACTCAGATCCTACCATGATGCCTGACGCCTAAAAGGCACGCAACCACTTGTCAAAAGCATCCGAATTAATCCGAGAGTCACTACAATTTCTAATTCCATCAGGAAAACCAGCAGGGCGGGTGCTAAGACTTCCCCAGGGGCTCCAGTCAGCAATGGGGTGTGCTGGAGGATCCCCATCAAGAGCTCAGCCAAGGAAAGGGAAAAAACAAGCTCGCCCCACACACCTGCCTGGGAGCACCAACACAGGGATTCCCCACAGTGCTGAGGGAGCCTGGTGCTCACGCCTGGCATGCCAGGGGCCACAGTTTAGATCCAAAATTGCTGAAACAACCCATCCAACAGAAAAAGAGTGTGTGATTTGGCAGGTTTCAACACTAGCAAGCCAGAGCCCAGCACCTGTTCCACTTAAGCCGTGCATCATTACAGTTAAAAACAACAACAAATGCCTCTCCTGAAGCAAGCGCTAATCTCGAGATGCTGCGCCGTGGGGCAATTTGCAAGAGTTATGACACGCAATGTGCCAAAGCATGAATTTATGGCTCATGCTTATTTGGCAAATATGCTTGGCACGGCTGGATGTTGAAAAACATGGATGCAAATGAGCAAATAAAAAGTTTTTTCAGCTCTCAGGCTTAAATATTTACATGACCATAAATGCACCAAGATCAATGCTTAGAGGAATAAACAAAGAAGGCATCTCAGGATCACGTTTTTTTTTTAATGCAATCATCAGGAAACAGTTACTGAGTAGCCTTCTTTCTTCCTGGGGCTCTGGGTAGACTCCCAACACGGTGAATTCTGAGACAAGGTTGATGGGTTTCAGCATTACCCTCAAAGTTCCCCTGGCACTGCCACCGGATAGTAGGGACAGTCACAGCACCCCAGCGGCACAAAGCCATCTTATCTTTTCCTTTCACCGAAACACTCCTCTTCCCACTCTGGAGCCAGGCCCTACAGAAATGTCAGCCCCTCACAGGGGGCGTGGGGGCGGGAGGGGAAGGGCCAGACATTAGAAAACCCTTGGATAGTTTGAGTTTCGACATTTCTCCCCACCATCACCACCAGCCAGTAATACATTCACGCTAGCTGAGAAGAGAACAGAACAGAACACAGGATAAACTATTTCCGCCAGTCCTCCCTTGGACGTCCCTGGGAAAGAGAACGACTCTACAATTTTTTCACATGGCCTGTGGCGATGGATGGTCACAGCCAAATCTCACTTGCAGTGGCTGAGCCTTCTGCTGCCAAGGGGAACTGCCCATCTCTGGGCTGGTGGCCCTAACTTCCCATTTCAAGAAAACGCACCTCACCTGCCACCATGGTTTCCCAAAGGAGTCACCCAGGAGCAACAGCGTCCAGGCACTTCCCAAAGCAATGAGGCTGGTCAGGGCAGTGGGCTCTCCCGCAGGGCCCCGAGATGACCCTGAGAAGCCAGCTCGCAGGATTGCTCACGGAAAGTTTTACCCGTTTGCATAATTCGCGTTCTTTCACTTCTACACTGCGGAAACCCACAGGAGGTTCTCAGCCTGCCCGCGGGGACTCCATCGCCTCAAGCATCGGGGTTTTAAAAAAAGAAGAAAGAAAAAGGGGAAAAGGCTCCCTATGTATGGCTGAGCAGAAATAAATCAGCACAGGTAGGCCCCAAACTGAACCCTCGCAGGCCAATCTCCAGCAAGACAGGTGAAAGCTGTTCACCAGCCCTCAGCTCACAGCCTAAAAATAGCCCGATATGTCAGTCTCCAAGTATTTAATTCAACATACAATGCTAACCACGTTCAACAGAGGCACGAGGGGGAAAAAAGAGATTGTAACAGGTTTGCTATATAGCAAGGGCAGTCAAGATGAAATCATAGTTTTCCAACAACTCATCTCCTCGCCACCAGCCCTCCGCTAACTCCACCCGGCAGCTCGCGGAGCCCTGCACTGGGATCTTAGAACAACACCACAAGTAACGTTTTTAAGGGGGCGGCGATGGGGGTTGGGGGTGCTGTTGCTTCTGGAAATGCAAAAGACAGGAAAATGCTGATCTGAGGCTCCAGGACACTACCACCCCCGCGCCCCCGTACCCATGGGTGCAGCGATCGCGTAGGACATTAAGAGGGGATGAAGGGGGGGGCGCTCCAGACAGCACTGGCCCCGACGGGGCGGAAAAGAAAAGTTGCGAGAAGGGACAAGTCCACCCACCGAGCCACGCCGGGGGCCCTGGGCTCCGGGAGCGCGAGCAGGAGCAGGAGCAGGAGCAGGAGCAGGAGCAGCAGCAGCAGGAGCAGCAGCAGCAGCAGCAGCAGCAGCAGCAGCAGCAGCTGCCCCCTTCCAGCCCGAGCTCCCGGCGCGCCCGGCTCCTGCAGGCTTCACTTTCCGCCCCCAACCGGCCGGGAGCCTCGCACAAGCCGCGCCCGGGGGCTGTCCTCGCCTCCCGGTCCCAACTTCGCCTCCTCTGGGGGGCGCCGCGCTCCCCGGGCCGCCGCGGGGAGCTGGGGGCTGGGATGGCGAGGGGCGCAAGGGGGTGCGCGGCGCCGGCGGGGCGCGGGGGCGGCCCCGGGCAGCCGGGGTGCCCGCATCGCCGCCGCCGTCACCCAAGACCCCCGGATCCCCGAGGGTCAGCGCCCTCACCCCCGCGGCGGCGGCGGCGACCCGGCTCCCAGCAGCCGGCGCGTGAGGAGGAGAGGGGGGAAAGGCGGGCTCCCCTTGCCGCCGTTACCTGAGGGGCGCCCACGCCGCCGCGGTGATCACCATCGCCGCCCGGCCCGTCCCCTTCCTGGTGACCGCGACCGCCGCCGCCGCCGAGCAACTGACACTGACTAACAACTAACTAAACTCCTCGCCGCCGCCGCCGCCGAGTCCACCGCGCGCTCCCGGCCGCTCGCCGTCCGCCCAGCCCACCAAGCCTGCCCGCCTCCTCCCGGCCCCGCGCGCCGCCCCTCTGCGCGCGCCCGTGGGAGAGCACGCGCGCGCGCGCACGCGCCCTGAGCGCTCCCCCAAGTCTACCCCCGCCCCCGGCCTCAGACCCGGAGGGAGAGGGGAGGAGTCAACGCGTGGCTCCGCCTCTCTGCGGGTCCAACCTGCGGGGGAAGACGCCAACAGGGCGTCTGATTGGCCGAGGGGCGTGACTAACCTAGTGGGCGGAGCTCCCAGGACCTCGGGGTCAGAGGGGAAATTGCCATGAAGCCGCCTGAGAAAAAGGGCGACCAAGTCCTTGACGCCTCAGATCCCTGCCTCTCAGCCCGTCATCTAACCTAAAGTGTGTGTTTGCAAAGACTCTCAGTGGATGATAACGAGCAGTTTTCAGCTCCATTAGTGTCTGCGGGACTTAGGCATTAAAAAAACTACATCTCCCAGAAGCCTCAGCGGAAAGAAGTCTCCCGTTGCGTAATCACGTAGTCCTTCTCCGCAGCGGGGACAAAATAATCCCTTCATTTTTCTGAAGGTGTCGGGAATAATATTTCATTTTCCTCCTCCCCGACACGCTCTCCAGTGTCACCGCGCCAAGAGGAGTCTCGCCTGTGGCCACGTAGTCAGACAACCAGGTGACGAGAGGGAGAAAGGACAGCGAACTACAGCGGCTGCGGAGGAATTCTGGCCGCGCCGTGAGACGCCCTAGGGCGAGGAGTGAAGGCGCCTGAGAGGGGCTGAGGGGATTGTCGTGGGTGCCGGGGGCTTTCGTCAGACCCCAAGGCCCCGCTCTCCCCTGTCGTCCGCAGGTCAGTAAGCGAGGCGAGCTCGGGGGTGGCCCTCCCTCAAGCCCGTCCCTCTTGGGCTGTCGCTGTTCCTGCCGTGGTCTCTCGGTCTGAGGCCCACGGAATGGGGGCGCCTCACTTCCGGCCGGGGGTGGGGGACGTGGCTCACTTCCTGTGGGGGCAGGGTGAGGCTTTGGGGGTGTCCAGCCCGCTGGGTGTGCTGGAGGGAGCAGGAGGAGAAGGGCCTGAGACCCTTCTCGGAGGTTGGGGTGAGGGGGCGGTGCTCCGGGGTCGTGTCCGCCCCGGGGGTGCTCAGCACCTGCCTCTGGTAGTCCCACTTCGAAGTTTGGGTCCCACGTGTAGGGTGGACAATCCTGTCTCTAAAAATTGTGCTTGAGGCTGCCTGGAGGAAGTGTTATCCCGCTCTCCTCAGGTCAGCCTTGGTGCTGATCGCGGGGTCCCTCCCACCTTGGCCTGCAGCAGGGCACCTGGCTGCTCCCCAGCCTGGCACCTGCTGCGCAGGGCATGCTCCCGGTGTAAGAGTCCCAAGCAGGAGACCCAGGAACCCAAGTGGGCTTTAACCTCTAGCTGCTACCTCAGGTTAGCAAACCTTCAGTTCTTAGACCTCAGAACAACTTCCTGGGCAGTAAGAAGGCTTGCCTGGAGCTTACCTGCTGGGGAAGTTTGTGTTGATACATTCCCTCCCCCGTCCCCTTGGTAATTTCAGTGAAATTCAGCACTGATTCAAAGTTGGGATCCATTCTTTTATATGTTTTTTAATTATTTATTTTCATTGCAAAGGAGGATTTACAGTGAGAAGAGACAAAGATCTTCCATCCTCTGGTTCACTCCCCAAGCAGCCACAATGAGAGAAACTTCACCGATCTGAAGCCAGGAGCTTCTTCCAGGTCTCCCATGCAGGTGCAGGGTCCCAAGGCTTTGGGCCATCCTGGACTGCTTTCCCAGGCCACAAGCAGGGAGCTGGATGGGAAGTGGAGCCACCAGGATTAGAACCGGTACCCATATGGGCTCTCAGCGCATGTAAGGCTAGGACGTTAGTCCCTAGGCTATGCCGCCCCCACATTTTGTATTTTTAAACCATATATTGTGAAACTTAGCCTAGATTTTAAGAATGTGGGGATGGTGGGAAATGACTCACCTAGGACGCTAAATAAGTACCTACTTTCCCATATTCCTGATTTTTCTTCCAAAAAATGCAATATTAATAAACACTCATCATTTTTCATTCTGTTTTAAGGAACACGATCCTTGTGTGTATGTACTGAGACACTGCCTGTGCGCTGCTTGGGACATCTAGGCAGTGCACCTGGAACTCTGTCTTTTAAAGAGCTTATAACATATTTTTTGTATGTTCTATCCCCCTTCTGAATTCACAGTTATTTTCATCTTAGTCCTAGTTGATTGAGAGTTAGAAAATGCTTTTATCTAAATGTTACTCTGAAAATCTTGGACCAGTGCAGTAGCCTGGCTAAAGTCTTCACTTTGAACACACCAGGATTCCATATGGGCTCTAGTTCCAATCCCGGCAGCCCCACTTCCCACCTAGCTCCCTGCTTGTGGCCTGGGAAAGCATTCAAGGACAACCCCAAAGCCTTGGGACCCTACGCCTAAGTGGGAGACCTGGAAGAGGCTCCAGGCTCCTGGCTTCAGATCGGCCCAACTCCAGCCGTTGTGGCCACTTGGGGAGTGAATCATCAGACCGAAGATCTTCCTCTCTGTGTATCTGTCTTTCAATAAAAATAAATAAATCTTTTTTAGGCTCTGTAAAGATTTTTTTAAATATCTAACACCCTAAAATCAATTGAGTTTTACATTGAAAGACCACAAAACTGCTGCAATAGTTGACCAAAAACGTAAGACAAAATAATACCTGTGTTCTTAACAGAAAATTAGGGGTATATAGGTGCCCCAAGCAAGCAGTGATTGATTAGAGAGAAAGCATTCACCATTTTTATATTAATGGAATTTAAAAGAAAATATGATCACCCTGACAAATGATAGACAGTGTTGGGAATTATTGGATTATGGAAAGGTTGCAAACCAAGTAAAAGAAAAATGATGTCGGAATATTGATTGCAGTACAGGGGTATTGCCTTTTGGAAACTGTCTCTGGAAAGTAAAGGAGTTTATTAAGTTGACGTTCACGCTATTCGGTGCAAGCAATGCAATCGTATAATGGAAAGAAGAAAAATTGCTAGAGCTGAAAGGCAAGAGCAGCATGGAGAGCTGTCTGTGGAGAAGCAAGCCGTATGTAAAGTGCATCTTTGAAAGTTGTTTTGTGATCGCTGACAGTTATTCATTGATCCTCTCAAGAAAGAAATGTTAGAGAAGCCTGTGAAAAATAGAGGGAAGGGCCGCCGAAAATGATTTTACTCTGTTTTTCTGGAGAGGCTTCTCGACTTCCAAAGACTTCTTTGTTGTAGTCTTCTTGGCATGTCCTGATCGAAACATAGAATCAAAATTGGGAAGATACTTGTGTGAAGATACTGTGTTACGGGGCAGGGTAAATGAAGTTGGAGCTTTGATTCCATGACTTGCCATCTCTAGTAAAGAAATGGTCATGCTCCCTGTATTTTAGATGTAGTGCTTGGCTTTAGACAACTGCTGTCTGAGACCAGGCACTGAGCGCTGTTCACAGAGGTCTTGAAATATTTAAAGAGCAGGTCAGGATTCTGGATTTGGTCACGCTGAAATTTGATCATCCACAGATACTGGACGTAATGTCTTTTCGACCTTTAGTCCACCTCGTTTTGTGAAGCCAAGCTAGTGTTTCGCACATAGTTGCTTTTCTTTCATCCTTCTGGTGGCGACTTGTTTTGGTTTTGCTGTAAAGCTGAAGGTTGAAAGTATGCTGGCAGCTTGAATGGTTTGTTTTCCATCGCGGTTTATGTATTGGAGAGACAGAGGAAGGACCTGTACACTGGTTCCCTTCTCAGATGCTCCCCTCGCTAAGGCAAGTTGGAAACCAGGAATTCCAGCCACGTCTCCCATGTGCTTCTGCCGGCCCCGCTGTCTCCCCTGGTGTGCATTGCACAAAGGGAAGCAGTGCCTGGTACAAAACCCAGGAGGCCCAGGAGCCAGGTACTACAGTATGGCCCTTCTGACATCTTAACTGCTAGACCAAGTGCTTCCATCTCCCTTTAAATGTTTTTTTAGATTTAATTGCTCTGCCATCTTTATTTCACAGCCTTCATGGAGACTGAAATGAGAATAGCCCTTATGTGATTTCGGTATTTTGATGTTGGAGATTTATTGATTTGTTTGGAAGAGTGGCAGAGATCTTGTATTCACCAGTTCCTTGCCCCCGAAGGCTGCAGTGGCCTAGACAGCAGGACCCAGGGGCTCCATCCACATCTTCTGCAGGAGCGTTGAAGACTCAAGCACGAGGATCATCCGTGCTGCTCTCCCAGGCGTGTTAGCAGATAACTGAAATGGAAGTGGAGCAGCCAGGGAGTGAACTGGCCCTCTGGTGTGGGATGCTGGTATCTCAAGCATTGGCTTCCCCCGCTGTGCCATGACACTGGCTCATCTTTTTACTCTTTCAGCAAAGCTCCTTGAGTTTCTACTGTGTGCCATTGTTCTAGGGATTTTGAATACAGCTGATACAGATATTTGTAGTGGAGTTTATCTCCCTTGGACTCCCTCATTGTTCATACTGGATCAAGAGGCAGCCCTGACTTGATCTGTAAGCCATTCTGAACATAATTTTCCATGTGTCACCCTTGTTTTCCTCCACCCGTGGACGCCCCTGTGCTACCCAGGCAGCCCCTTTCCCTGACTCAGCAGCTTCCCTTCTAGCCTTCTTGGTGTCGTGCAATTGAGAATCAACAGTGGGGACATAAGGACCAGGTGACCTGAATTAAGACTGGTCTCTACCTTGTACTGGCTGAGCTGATGGCTTGTGACACCTTGAGCAGTTTGACCTCCCTGAGCACCCGCCTCTCTAATCTAAACGAAATGTGGTTAGAACAAAGATAGAGAGTTTAATGAGTGCTCCATATGTGAGCTTTGTGAGTGCTCCACTGGTCCTGCCTCTGCCACTCTGTCTGCTGGGCCTTGCGAGTGGCCTCAAGACTAGGTTCATTGGGAATCTGCCTTCCCCTCCTGTGAGCATCAGCACGCAGTTGGTAAGATTTTATTGTTTACTCGAAATGATATATAATAGAAAAGTTTCAAGAAAAGATTAAGGAATCCCTGTGGAATCCGAGTTGTTCCAGAAAAACTAGACCTGTATGAACACTAAGCCTCAGGCAGGCTAAGCCAGCACTTGGGTTCCTGCGTCCTTTATCGGAACGCTGGTGAGAGTCGTGGCTGCTCTTCTGCCCAGCCACCTCCTGATGCTTCCCAGGAAGCAGCGAAGGATAGCCAGAGGCCTGGGCTCTGCACCCAGCAGGGAGACCTGCCTGCGTCTCTGGGCTCCTGGATTCAGCCTGTCCCAGTCCCAACTACTGTGGGCATTTAGAGAGTGAGCCAGAGGTTGTAAGATGGATCTGTTGATATCTCTCTCTCATTCTGCCTTTCAGTTGATGAAAATAAACATTCTTATAGGTCCCCAAGCCCTAAGCATAACATAGAAAACCCTTCATACTGTGACCATATTTCTTCTTACCCATCTGTACTTCCCAAACTGGATGGTCTCTTGGGGAAAAAGAATCTGTACTGTGCCCAGCCTCTTTGTTTATGCTGTCCGCTGCATGACAAATTTTTCTTTTTCCCTGGAAACTCCCATTTATCAAAATGTTCCCTTCTTGAAATTGTTTCTCAAAAATAACACCTTCAAAAATATTTTGAGGACCAGAATCAAGGCATAGTTGATTCAGCTGCCACTGGTGATGCCAGAATTCCATGTGAGTACTGGTTCAAGCTTTATTCTGACCCACTGTTTCTGTTATGGTGTTTCTGTCTTTGTTTTTTTTATAGGTGAGAGACAGAAAGATCTCTTCTATCCGTTAGTGCATTCCCCAAATGGCTGCAGAGGCAGACTGAGCCAGTCTGAAGCCAGG